TTTTTTTTTAATGGTTTAGCAAAGGGGTGACTTGGTGGCTCAGTTGGTTAAGCATCTGACTTCAACTCAGGTCATAGTCTCCTGGTTCGTGAGTTTGAACCCTGCATCGGGCTCTGTGCTGACAGCTCAGAACCTGGAGCCTGCTTCAGATTCTGGGTCTCCATCTCTTTCTGCTCCTCCCCTGCTTGTGCTCTGTCTCTGAAAAAAAAAATAAACATTAAAAACAATTTTTTAATGGTTTAGCAGAAACAATGTATATATTGTTGAGATATATTACTATATTATCATATTATTTTATGTTACATATTGGAGAGAGAATGTAGCAGATCACTAACTGTTGACATGAGCGGAATGTATATAGTTATTCATTATACTCATTCAGCTTTTTTATATGTTTGAAAATTTTAAAGTAAAATGATTACAGAGGGTGGTGGGAGTGGGGGGCAGGAGGGAGCTGGGAGAAATGGAGTCAGCCAGGACTGGACATGGGGCAGTGAATCTTGGAGCCAAGTTTCCCCCCAGTGACCTCCATGGGGTGGTCCGGGACTAACTCCTTCCCTGCCTGGGGTGTTGACCCCGTCTGGGAGAGGCATCCACGTTGGTGTGGTTTGCTGGGAGCTGGCTTCTATCAGACTCACGTGCACTCAGTTGGCTGGCTGTGTCTCCCTCCCCCAGTGTGTAAATACGTTGCCGTGGAGCTGAAATCAGCTTTTGAGGAAACCGGCAAGACCAAGGAGGTGATCGACACAGGCTATGGCATCCTGGATCGGAAGGCTTCCGGAGTCAAATACACCAAGTCGTAAGTGAAAGAGGGTACCCACCAGCCTGGCCTGCTTTGTTCGTAACGGCTTTAGAGGTTTGGAGTTCCCTTCTCCCTTCCAGCTAGGCAGACCCACCAAAGGGAGGCGGCTCTGACCAACACCTAAATTTGCCCACTGGTTTTGCCCCCAACTATTTGTGTGGTCTTCATAAGTCCCTTTATTCCACTGAGCTTTGGACTTCTCATCTGTAAAAGCAAGACTGTTGGGCCTTATCTCATTCCCAGACTCTTGGATTTCATGGACCAGTGCAAATTAAAAAAAAAAAAAAAAAAAAATTGGTAATATAGGGTTACCAATCTTTAATTTTGCCAGGAATAAATATTAAAAGTAAAAATAACCCCCCCAAAAAACTTTCATCAGCTATGATGGTCCTTTCAAAATGAAATGTGTTGGAGCACCTGGCTGGCTCATTCAATGGAGTGTGTGACCCTTGATCTCAGGCTTATAAATTCAAGCCCCACGTTGAGTGTAGAGATGAGTTAAAAATAAATCTTAAAACAGAAAAAAAGAAATATTTTAACATCAAAACTTAATACATTTTGCTTTATAAAACCATCTAAATACTGAATCATTTAGCTTTATAAAAAATGCCTTCCCGTAGAGCTGTTACAATTTTGTCTCTCTGGTCTGTGTTCCAGCATTTCAGAGCCCCCAGACCAGATGACCTATCTTCCTTCCAGCTCTGACTTCCCTTTGGTGAGATGCGCAGGTGTTGGGGTAGCAGGGCTGGAGGGACGGACCACTGACCCACTGGGGCTAGGAGAGGAGTTCAGCCCCTCTCGTGCTGCTGTCTCTGCAGGGACTTACGGTTAATCGAAGTCACTGAGACCATTTGCAAGAGGCTCCTGGACTATAGCCTGCACAAGGAGAGGACCGGCAGCAACCGGTTTGCCAAGGTTGGATTTGTGCTTGTCCTTCATCCCCACTGGGGCCAGGCCTGGAGGTGTCTAAGTGGTCTGCTGGCGTGGGTGTGATTTGGAGATCATGCTTGGGGGGCTTCCCTCCTTGGCCTCTTCCCATTCTTCATCGGCCACGGTGTGCATTTCTCCCCTTCTGAGTGGCCTGGCTTTTCAGTGGCGATAGGCACATTCTTCATGGCCTGGGCCTGCCCATCAGGGCCCTGTCTCAGCCTCAGACTGAAATGCAGGGTGGCAATCCCCGTGGAGGCCTGATCACTTGCTCAGTGAGAGCTCAGGCAGTACAGACCTGTGGGCTTTAGAGATGTCAGAAGACATGGCAGGGTGGGGGTGGGGTTAATACCTCATTCCCCTGGGCCCACTGGGCACGCACCTGGACCGCTGTCAGGGTGCCTGTGTAACATTCAGTGCACTTACTGTATGTATGAATGGCTCTGTCCCTGAACAAGGAGTTTCTCACAACAAGGCCCATAGTTCTTTGTTTCTACGTCTTCAGTGCCTGGCACATGGTAAGAGACTTGCCTCCCACATTTCTCCACCCACCTACCCTTCCAGTGAAGTCGGTTAGTGAGAAACCCCTGGGAAACCTAGAGAGATAGTCTTAAGCAACAGAAGTCTTAAATTTTTTGTTTGTATGAATTTTGTATTCTACTCAGTAATAAAACCATGTTTTGCTTTAATATAAAAATGTTTATGGGGCCCCTGGGGGCTCAGTTGGTTAAGCATCTGACTTTGGCTCAGGTCAGGATCTCACAGTTCATGAGCTCAAGCCCTGCGTTGGGCTCCACACTGATATCGTGGAGCCTGCTTGGGATTCTCTCTCTCCCTTTCTGTCTGCCCCTCCCCTACTTGTGCTTTCTCTCTCTCAAAATAAATAAATACACTTAAATTTTTTTTTAATGTTTGTATTTATTTTTGAGAGAGACAGAGCATGAGCAGGGGAGGGGCAGAGGGAGAGGGAGACACAGAATCCAAAGCAGGCTTCAGGCTACGAGCTGTCAGCACAGAGCCTGACGTGGAGCTCAAACCCATGAACCACGAGATCATGACCTGAGCCAAAGTCGGACACTTAACTGACTGAGCCACCCAGGTGCCCCTAAATAAATAAACCTAAAAAAAAAAAAGTTTAAGATTATTTTCCGTAGCAGTAAAATTAGAAACAACCTAACCATTCACCAGGGGTTAAATAAATTGATGTGGCCATTCAGTGGACAAAACAAAGAATGAGGTAGCTCTTTGTGGCGTGAATTAAAATTATCTCCAAAGTCTGTTAATAAGGCCAGGTGCAGAAGAGTGTGTCTGCTATATACTATTGCTTGTGTAAAAAATGGGGGTGAGGAGGGCAGGATGGATTTGTATGTATATTTGTTTGTATTTGCATGCATTACCTCTGGAAAGATAGAGGAAGTAGATGATGTGTAGGTGTAGTCTCCAGGGAGAGGACCTAGGTAGCTGGCAGAAATATTTTTACAGAACTGGGTCCTCCCTGCCTCACTCGTGCCCACTTCCAACCCAGGAAAGGCACAAGCCGTAGGAAGAATTAGAGAGTGAGCGGGTCTAGACGTGGGGGCGCGAGTGTTCCTGGCCACAGTGAGGGGAAAGAGCAAAGGCACACTTAATTCCTGGGAAAGGAGTATCTATTCAAAGGGCCAGAAGGCAACAGCAGCCCTTTTGGGGATTTTTGTTTGTTTCTTTAAGTTATTATGATGATGATGATTTTAATAGCGAGAGGGGAAGAGAGAGTGAGGGGCAGAGCGAGAGGGAGAGACTCTTAAGCAGGCTCCATGCTCAGCACAGAGCCTGACGCGGGGCTTGATCCCACAACTGTGAGTTCATGACCTGGGTCAAAGTCAAGAGTCAGATACTTAACCTACTGAGCCACCCAGGCGCCCACACAGCAGCCCCTTTTGAAAGGGGGAGGTGTGGGGAGGCAGGATAGGTTGTGTGTGATTGTGTGTGTGTAGGTGTGTAGGTGCGTAGGGGTTGTGGAGTAGGCCTGAAAGAGGGGAGAGGAAAGTGAGGTCCAGTGTGAGAAGCCTTGAGAGTCCTGGCTTCTCAGAGCTGGGTCCTTGGGCCTCCAGCACCACCCGGAGAGGAGGGTGGGAGGTAGGGAAAGCTCCGCTTCTCATGCCTGGTTGCCTCTTCCAGGGCATGTCTGAGACCTTTGAGACACTGCACAACCTGGTCCACAAAGGGGTCAAGGTGGTGATGGATATCCCCTATGAGCTGTGGAATGAGACCTCTGCAGAGGTGGCTGACCTTAAGAAGCAGGTATGGGCCTTTTGGCCCTCAGAGCCTACCGTGCCCCACGGGGGTGGGTGGGGACTGGGTCTGGGGCTGAGGAAGGCCACCAAGAGCTGGGAGGCTTTGATCAAGTCATCTCACCTCTCTGCCTTCAGTTTCCTCAGGAGAATCACAGCCACCTGCCTGCCCTGCAGTGGGTTGTGAGGCTCAGCTGAGCTCCCCCGGGAGCAAGTCAGTGCTGGGGCTTTGCCAACGCAATGTACTCTGATTCATAGTGCGACGTGTTGGTGGAAGAGTTTGAGGAGGTGATCGAGGACTGGTACAGGAACCACCAGGAGGAAGACCTGACTCAGTTCCTCTGCGCCAACCACGTGCTGAAGGGCAAGGACACCAGTGAGTCTGAGGGAGGGAGAGGGCAGGGTGGGTGGGCCCTCAGCTTTACTGCTTGCCCCCCCTCAGGGGAGGTGGGTAGGGAGGGGACAGAGAAGAGATAAGACCTAGAAAGCACCATACCCTCAAGGAGCTTGATGGGACAGCGTGGAGTAAGAGGTACTGAAACCAGGTGCAGAATAACATGGCGGTAACTCAGATGCCCCCAGAGGGGCCTGGAGGCCCCAGAGAGGCAGGAGGAGGGGACCTGACACCACTTCCAGTTGCCGCTTCCGGGGCCGCCCAGTCAGTGCTCCTCACCCAGCAAACCAGTCTGTTGAGGGTGTCTCTCCTCACCCCAGGTTGCCTCGCAGAGCAGTGGTCCGGCAAGAAGGGGGACACAGCCGCCCTGGGAGGGAAGAAGTCTAAAAAGAAGAGCGGCAAGGTCAAGGCCTCGGGCAGCGGCAGCAAACAGAGGAAGGAGCTAGGTGGCCTTGAAGAAGACCCCAGCCCCGATGAGGATGAGGGCATCCAGAAGGCATCCCCCCTTACACACAGCCCCCCGGATGAGCTTTGAGCCTAACCCAGTGCCCCCTGTATCATGACCCCTGACCTGGAAGCTGAAGAATCTGGGGCACAGCTCTGGCAGGCAGATGGCTGTCCCTCTCCAAGTCCTCCCTGCCGTGCCAGCTTCCTGCCGGGAAAGACACAGGGCCAGGGAAGAGCTCAGATCAGCTGCCGTCAGCCTACCGACCTCCTCCCTCTGCCAAGCGGCTGTCCTGACCCAGGCTTCAGGCAGGCCATGCGATTTCACGCCTACCAAGGACTCCAGTATGAACTCCGGAGGGGCAGGTGTGGAGAGGGCACCCGGCCTTCACCTCCCCTCACTCCTTCCCAGCAGGGAAGCAAGACTACAGGCCTCCCCACCCCTGCTTATCCCCTCCTGTGGACACCTTGCACTCTGCCTGGCCCTCCCCAGGGCTCACAGAGTAAAAACCTTTTGGCCTTTTTTGTTCTGATTTTTGAGTCCCCTCCAGCTCCTCAGAGGGGCCTGGAGTCCCAGTTGCTCTCCTCCCTCTCCCCTTCCAGCCCAGGGGGGCCAAGGGTGGAGAGGCGGCTCCCATCCCCCATTATTGAGGCTGGGCCTGCCAGCTGTGGGGGGCAGCAAGTGCCAGGAGGGCCCAGGTTGTTTTGGGGTGAGGCTCAGGACTGGGCTTTGGCCCTGCCCCTCAGCTGCCTTTGGACTCCCTAAGCTCCCCAGGCCAGGAGGGGCCTCACTTGTGCCCTGGCCACCTGGCTGGGCTCCCGCTGCCTCTCCTCTCTCGCGCAAGGCCTTCCCCTTTGTTGTGTAAACTGTTTACTGGTGACCCCGCCAGATCCCACCCCTCCTTCCCACCTCATCTGCCCTACTTGTTGGTCTTGAACCTTGTTCCCTGATGACCACAGCTGGTCACTCTGCTCTTCCTAGCTGTTGTGCCTGGAGTCTGGAGGGGAGGACACCCCAGCCCCCCAACAACAGCTGGTTACACAACGTTCTCTGGGTGCAGGGGAAGAACAGGAAGGCTGGCCTCTAGGGAGAAGGGGTGGGAGGCCCAGGCACCTCCGCATTCTGTCCTGAGGGCAGGGATCAGGCCCTCAGTAGCGATAGTGAGGACAGCGGCACGCACTCCCAGGGCTTTAACTTGAACCCTAACAACTCTTGGGGGTGGGTGCCATTAGCCTCATTTTGTAGAAGGTAAAACTGAGGCTCAAATTAAGTGACGTGCCCAAGGTCCTGCCGTTAGTAAGTGTGCAGCTGGCACGACTCTGGGTCCATTGTATTTCCCCTACCCTGAAGCTGCCAGCTCCTTCACCCAACACCCGGCACTGGCAGTGTGGTCCACACTGAACTGGTTTGGTTTCTTAGCCAGAACTCCACCCTTACCAGCATGCCTCTTTTCAAAGGAAAGGAGGAGGCTTCTTAGGAGGAGACAATGGCAGAATGTCCTGCCAGCGTGGCACCCCCACCAGGTGCCCTGTGGGTACCCGCACAGACTCTGTGCTTCTGGCCTGGGCCTGCTGGGCCGGGGGAGATGCACTGCCGAAGTGCCGCAGACTCTGGCTCTGGTGAAATGTTCCAGGGCCTGAACTGGGGGTGTGGGGCCCCTCGTAGCCTGGGCTCAGGCCCACTTCTCCCCTGAGTTGGGGCAGCCAAGGTCATAGAGGGTGGAGGAAACGGAAAAATTTTCTTCCGGCTGGTGAGGCTTCCAACAGGTCCTTGGAGGATGATGCTTTTTTGGGTCAGCCCCTCTGCCCCCACCCATCTCCAGGACCGGTACTGCCCCCTGTTGAAGGGGCTGTGGGCAGTGAGAGTCCAGTCGAGACTCAGGTCCCACCCAGGACTTTGTTCAAGGGCTGGAGCCCAGGGCTGGGGAACCGTTTGCAGCCCCCCTGGACTGTCCAGGATTTCATGGCTAGTCTCTGATTCCCCCATTATGTCACTGACCCACAGCACCTCCGTGCCTGCCTTACATCAGTCCCTAGAGCTTCATTGGTCCTTAAAGTAGGATGAGACAAGACCTGTCCCCTTACTGGGGTGTTGACCCAGTGGCCCAATCCAGACCCAGTCCCAGACCAGAGGGCAGACAGTGCTGTGACTGCTTTGCTCTTTGACCTGTGGCTGCTGCATGAATAGCACCTTGTTCCTCCCCCACCACCACCCACAAGGCCAAGCAGGTTGCACACACTAGCTCTCCACCCACCCACCCCAGTAAGCAGCCTCTCCCTCCACCCCCCACCCCCCACCCCGCCCCCAGCCTGGAAGAGCCAGAGGCAAGATCCAGCTTTCCAGGTTTTTCTTTTTCTCTCCCCACCACACCTACAAGCCTTTCTGAACTTGACTATGCCTTCCACTCTCCCACACCCCTTCTCTCCATAAGATGAGGGGACTGGCTGAGCTGGAGTTAATCTGATTTTAGTCCCTTAATTAGAAATCCTGTTAAAACAGGGTTTCCTAAACTCACCTGAACATGAAAAGTCACATGGAATGGTGGTTAAACATACAGATGTCTGGGCCCACCTGATTTGCTGGGTTGGAGACCTGGAAGTCTGCATGCTTAACAAGCCTCTCTCATGGTTCTCACGATGAGGCCAGCTGGACCCCACTATACCAGGAGAAACAGGGTGTCTTGCTAAGAGGGGAGAGGGCCTCAATGAAATCACAAGGTCAGTGTCTTGTCCTCAGAAACACAACTTGTCGGAACCTCAGAAAGGATCTGTCTCTCAGCCATCATCCAGAACCACAAAGGCCGATGGGCAAACCAGAAAGCATTTCTTTCACTTCCATGATTAAAAGAACCACAGGCCCTGGTAGTGGAGTCTCAGGGGTTGGGGCTCTGTAGTCTCAGGGGCGGCTGCACAAGGACTCTATTTATTCTAGAGGACAATCGCTAGGAAGTTTCTTCAACTTCCCAGTTCCTGGGTGGTATTTCCATGCAGCATCTTTTTGCAGGTTAGAAAATGGTGCTCTTCACACCTTTGACTTCCGTCTGTCAGAAAGTTGTCTTAATGTCAGTTTTGTTAGAATAAGAGACAGACTACCAGGATCCCGCCAGAAAATAATAAATTTACAAACCCATGAATGGCAGTCCCTTAAATCTGGAACCTTTGTGTGGTATCCAACTGCCCTGCATCATTTCTGTTCACAAGTGTGAGCAAATGCCTCTTCTTTTTTTTTTAATCTCAATTTTTTAATCATATTATTTTAGAGAGAGAGAATCTTAAGCAGTCTCCACACTCAGCACCGGAGCCCAATGCAGGGCCCGATCCCCCGACCCTGGGATCATGAGTTAAGCTGAAACCGAGTCTGATGCTCAACCAACTGAGCCACCCAGGAGCCCGATTATTATTATTTTTTTTAATCTTAAGGCATGCTTTTTGCTACAGATGCATGGTCCAAACCTAAGTGGTTTATAGGAGGGCTCTGTGTACTAATCCTAGCAGCAGAGCCAGTTGAATCTCTCTTAAACATCCTCTGATGGCCTAGTTTGCTCTAGTAAGGAGTTTCACTGGAATAATAGTAACCACTATTTTTTGAGTGCTTACTATGTGACAAACACAGTTGTACATGCTTTACATAATTATTTAACACTACTATGATCTCAAGGCCATGGATTTCTAAAAACTCAAAGTACAGAAAAGTGCTTACAGCTCAATGAGTTTTTACAAACTGAAAACCCAAGTCATCTGCACCCAGCTCATGAAACGTTATTACCATTGCCCCCTACACACACACACACAGGGAATGTCATCTATTTTGTTTACTGTTGTATCCCCAGCACTTAGTATAGTGGATGGCACAGAATAGCTGCTTAATAAATACCCATTGAATGAAAGGTTAAATAACTTGCCCAAGGTCACACACGAGTGGCCCTAGCAGGTTATGAGCGCAGGCGGAATGGCTTCAGTGTCCTGAGGCAGAGCCATGAGGCCACAGTACCCTGGAGCTATGGGTTGGCTTAGGGCACCACCCGCCTCTTACATGGCTCCCTTCTAGAAGGCAGCCCAGCTATGCAGTCTGCTTGTCTATGTCTTCCAAGTTCAACATGGGGAATGCAATTAGGAGCAAGACAACTTTCAAGTCTCTCCCTTTTCAGAGTTTACTGTTGCATATAGGTGAAAGCCAGCTTGACCCTTATGCTGCCCTCAAGGGCTGGATTTTTTTTTTTTTTT